TTTCAAAATTTAAATATATATTTTATTATATTATTTATAATATAAAGGTGATTCTGCTTTGAGGAAAATCTCTGTTAAGTCTTCTACATTCAAATGCTCTTTTGGTGTGAATTTCAGAAAGATAATTTTCCTTTTCTTTCTTTCTTTATTGTGGTCAAATATACATAACATAAAAGTTACCATTTTAATCATTTTTAAGTGTACAGTACAGTGACATTAAGTACATTCATTCTTGAAGGAAGTTTTTCCATATCTTTTTTTGCATTAGCAATGGTCACTTGTCCAAAAGAGTAGTATTCTTTGTGTCTGCCCAGCTATGGCTACTTTGTTCATTCAGGAACTCTTCTAATTCCCAATTGTGCATGAAATAAATCTTTCATATTTCTTTTGTAATATTCATAGAAAATGTACTTAGTAAACACCTCTTATATCTCCCACCTTCTGATCTTTACCAGCCACCTCAAATTTATTAACAAAAGAACTCTTCTTTCCATGCCTGCAAGGGGCATAGCTACTTTAGGAAAAAGTTTTCCATCTTCATGACCTGCTAAGACAAATTCTCCTTTCTTCCCCATCTCAAACAACCACACACCTACACTCCACATACATTTTCCCACTTCCTTGTCTGCCCCAACCTTGGCTTCAGTATTCATGAAAGAAGTCTTTTACATCTGCACATGCTTCAGTCTTAGCTGCTTCCCTTTGAAAAGTAGTCTCCTCTCTTTCTCTTTGAAATGACCATGGCCAGTTTTTTCACTAAATAAGTATCCCATATTCCTGCAGAGGAAGTGTCATAAAGTGGTTAGGGCCAGAATGTTTATAGTCATACTTCTTGGATTTGAAGTATAACCTTGATCAAGAATTTCACAAAAAAATATTCCATCATCTTTTTTGCCCTGGCTACTTTGTTCAAGAAATAAATCTTCCATTTGCCTTACTGCCTCAGCATTGTTTCTATTTTGTTCATGAACAAATCTATTGTTTTTTATGATGGCTAGTTTGTTGACAGGTCTTTCACTTTCGGTTTTCAATGGCTTATGGATAATTTTTTTTCATGAAAGAAGCTTTCCATTTTTTTTTTTTTTTTGCATCTGTACCAGTCCTGGCTACTTTGATGATAAAAGAAGTCTTCCACCTTTTTCTCTTTCCTGGTAATGGTCATCTTGTCCATAAAAGAAATCTAATACCTTGGCTCATTGTCCATGAAAATTACATTGTTTTTCATCTCCTTTACAGCAAAGGCCAAAGATACTTAATTCTTGAAGAAAGTCTTCACTTCTCTGAGATCTCCAGCTATCAGATCTTGACTACTGTACCTAGTTTGAATCTTTATTTTTATTGCAAATTTGAATCCAGCTGGTGAAAACCCCACATATCCACATCCTCTTGCCAAACACACTTAGACTAATGGTTGGCTTATTTATATCAAACAAGCTACTGGAATATGATAATCTAGCTGGGCTATCTTATTACCATGATATCCTTTTACAACAACTCACTGCACTTCACCCTGAACATTCTCTTTCAGAGCAATTATGATTGCCAATCTTGCTACCACTTTTTATCTCCTAGTTTTACCAGTATCTTGACAGCATATAAAAAGACATATAAAAAGTATTCTAACCAATACAAAGGCATAGGCAAGGGCATCTAAGTGGGAGACCTTATTTGGTTCCCTTCCTTACAATTTTATACTGTATACCTATGCCAATTCATAAACATTTATTCCAGTTTTTATGATTTATGTTTCATCTGATATGACCCTCCACCAAATATCCTACTTATTTCTCCCAAGAAGGAGAATACAAGTATTAACAGGAGAGATGCTATAACCATGGTGATACAATGGCTAGTTTTGGTTCCTTGTTCCCTGGAAGGGTAAAGATCACAAAAGTAGTCATGAAAATTCCCTTTTACCTCAGGAATGCACTAGAGAGCATTAAGATTTTCTATGGGTAAACCTGTAAAAATGCAGACTCTGCCTAAGGAAGGGTATCTTGGGAAAGTATGTTATTCCCAACACAGCCACTTCATTAGATCAACTTGTCCAAACAGACAGAGACTATCAACTTGTAAAAAGTCAGCTGTGGATGAATGTGAAATATCTTTTCCTGAAAATAAGATGCATTGCTTCTCCTGCTTAGACCTACTGCTCCGTGTTTCCAGCATTTCTGAATCCCATTTGCCTTCACACCTTGGCTTTTGATTATAAATGCATGCTCTCTGAAAAGCTTGATGAGTTACTTTGGACATGCATATCTGCCTTGAATTTGGTACCCTCTCAGACCTGATGTTTTGTATTCCTACTTCATATATACACATCATAATTGCAGGTAAGAGGTTCTCCTGAATTTCACCCATCTCTCTGGGTAATTTTTTCCTCAGTCTCTACAACATAAATTAGAAGCTTGAATAAATTGTACAAATGGAGACTAACAATAACTTAAATGGAGAGGTACAAGCTAACTATCAGGAGCAAGGGAGAGTTATAACTGATGAATGTATATCCATAAAGTCTTTCCACAGACCCCCTGCAACACCTGCAATGCAAGTTTAACTCCATCCTTCAGAAAATAAAAAATGGTAATTCCATATAGATAGGCTTCTTTATAAAAATTACAAATATTATAAAGTTCAAAAGTATCTATTTTCACATATTATCTAAGAAAATCTATAAGGCTGGTGTTTCTAAAGTCTTTACTACTAAGACCAATGTTGAGAGAAATTATCCTGCTCATTCTCATTTCAATTGAGCATGTGAGGATTATTCATGGTTTGTGACTACCACTTGGTTATGTTTGTTTGTCTCACTTAGGTGTTTCTGGCTAGAGCTGCCATTCATCAGATTGTCCAAGGGAAACAGCCAGTGAGCATGCTTCTACCTTCTAAATCTGGCCCAGTAGCTGTCCACAAGCCAAGGTCCTAAGAGTTTCTGGACACCGAGCATTACTTCTGCATACTGCCATAAATGCCAATTCTCCAGTAGTATGTCCAGGAAGTAAGCAGGGTAAGACCTTAATCAGTCCCTGTATACATGTTCTAATTCAGAAAAAAAGAGACCTCGAACACGGGGACAAGGGTGTGTTGTAGGACAAAATGGAGAATATGTTAGGCACAGTGAAAAAATATATTTGAATACATAAGCTGGAAAGTAAGGAGAACCTAAAAATACAGGTGGTGATATTGCAAATTTCTGAATTTTTCTAAAACACAGAAATGTTTCTTAGGTGCTCTTCTGAAGACTATTTGGAATGAATGGTGGATTTTAAATCAGATATTTTAAATTCATACTTTGTAGAATCTGAGAAGCTGTCATGGATTGACTGGCACTCTTTTTTATCTCTTTAATTCTCTCTTACTCCCTTTTGTTCAAAAATATTAAGCCTTTGTTATGGAATACCTTTCTAATAAAAATCTAGTTCTAGGACTATCACTTTTGCTTGGGAAATGCTCTTATATAAGAGATGGGTCTTTAAAGTGTCAGCCACTTCAGGAATCACATTTATTTCAGGAATTTATTTTTCTTTCAAAGATTTTATGAGAGTAGGACTGATGTTATATTCTTATATGCTCTGAAGCTGCTTTTTGAACTTTAGAAAACTGAGACTCATGAAAAACTTTAGAGGTACTTTATCATTTCCAATGGGAGAAATCTCAATGTGCAATTGCTAAAGAAACCCAGAATCAAACCAAGTTCTTTGAGAATGGGATAATTTTCCTGGGATTAAACATTTAAATGAAAGCTATATTTAAAAAAATGTTGGGACTTTCCTTTTCTGCAGGACTAAGAGCCTGATTTGACAGTAGGAACAGATTTGTACAAAAATACATTATTTGAAATATGTTTGTTCTTATCTACTGCAGAGGTCGATGCCAGAAGAGAGATTCTTGGTATCAGATCAGAAAACTTGAAAATTATAGGATACATGAGATATTTGGTTTGGAATAATACAACATCAGGGCTCATTACTTATACCAGAGGGCACTCCTACAACTAAAGAAAAGACCTGGGCTCCACCCAGGAATTTGCAGCGGGATCTCAGAAGATTGAGAAGATAAAGGGGAGGAAAGAAGAGGGATTTTTAAATGAATATTTTGGAGTTTAATTTATTTTTGAAGAAGTGGTTGAATTAAGAGTAGGGGCCTGATAGTTAAAATGTTAGAAAGTAGAGGATAGTCGACATTTTATATTGCAATATATTATTTTGTTTTGATGATACTCTTTTAGAGTATAAAATACATAACTTTTTTAGTCAGCTTTCTAGGGTGAGGGGATGTATTGTTAAATGTGAAGGAGAATACCATTAGTATTTTATATTGTTATTATATTACTTGAACTATAATGATACTGTTATATTTTGAACAACATATTCTTCTCTGATGAGCTTTATGGGAAGGGGAAGAGCACTTATATAGTTAAATGTGAGGGGGAAGTGTTTGTGGAATTTTTTTTCTTTTTTTTATATATATTTTATTTGTTTGAGAGACAGTGAGCGCGAGAGAGTGGGCACACAAGCAGGGGGAGGAGCAGAGAGAGAGGGGGAAAAGCAGACTCCCAGCTGAGCAGGGTGCCCGATGCGGGACTTGATCCCAAGACCTTGGGATTATTACCTGCGCCGAAGGCAGACGCCCAACCAACTGAGCCACCCAGGCATCCCAAATCATTTCATTCTGAAAATTACATTCCAAAATATGTGGTCTCTTTCAGTTTTTGTGCATTTATTCAACAAATATTCATTGAGCACTCACTCTGACTACCATTAAGAGAAACCTCCTGTACAATGGGGACCACATATTTACACACCTAGCACGTGGCAGTCTTGTGGAAATGAACTATATACTATGCACTAGGGAGGCCGAGACGAACAGGACACAGCACTGAACAACAGCTACTGAGTAACAACCTTTACTACCTATCTTCACTTAGGCACACCTCCATTTTAGAAATAAAAAATAACCATCGAAAGGGGAGTTTTTAAACAAAGTGTTTCTAAAACAACTTACTTGCTGACTTCTTTATACTGGGCTATCTCCTCAATATAAAGAAGGTCATGCAGCCGTGACTGATAGTTGGTCTTGGTCAATGATTTGTCTAAAACGGACTGGGTAAACAGCTGGTCAGCAGAGAGAGGAATTTGGTATCTGATAAGAAGGCTCTTCTCCAAATCAGTAGTTTCATTAGGTTCAAAATCTACAATAGTCTTAGAAGAAGAATCCCAACGCTTAGCTGTGGTTACTAGCTGTTGTTTTGCATGCATCAGGTATTCAAGATCTTACAAGTAAGAGCAAAGGTCCATGTCTGGTGAGATTTTTTGGTGTTGACAGTAACCGACAGATCAGGATTATGCTCTACTTTTACTCCTTCTATACATTCACTAAGCACTTTCTCAGGAGATAATGAATTCATCCACTTTTCTATCAAGGTTTCCATGTAACTGCCTGAGAGCTGTTTATTCTCATTTTGCTGTTTCAATTTTATCAAGCGTGAAGCATATCTTTTCTGCCATTCTGCTAGTTCTTCCTGGGAATGTGCTGAAGTACACTGCGCACCATACCTACAGATTCCTTGCTCTAAAAATCTTTGACACAAAGTATATTCCTCGCTGCTTGTGATTCCCCTAGGTGGTGGGTGGAAATGCCAACCATTACAAGATCCCCCTTCCAAGTCTTCCACGTGATATCCAGAGAGGACGTTACTAGTTGCTGTCTCTGTTTCTGTGAGAAGTGTTTTTAGTCTTGTCAAATCCTTTGTTACCATCCCATTCAGGGACTCTCCTGTCAGTGACTTGGCAAGAATGTTGGATACCAGTTGAAGCTTTCCTTTCAGTTGCACGCAGCAAAGCACTGCCTGAAAGGCACCATCTCCCTTGGCCAGGCCTTCTCCCAGCACATGCCTACAATCTTCATCAGCTTGCCCATAGTTTTTCAGTTGCAAAAATGAGGCAATTCTGTAAAGAAGACTCTCAATTTTGATGCTTTCTATCTCCAGTGGACATGGCCCTGTGAAGTCGGCCATGGAGTACTGGCCAAGAGAAAGGAGGGCCTCTGTGCAGTGCTTGAGGGTCATTTCATAGTCCTGCCTCTTAAGTGATTCACACGCTTGTTCACATGACTTCTCAGCTCTTCTGTCTTCCATGACTCAGGGACAAAAATCCTGCAGTTCACTGCACTGGGTATCACCCAAATAGCCCATCAGAGCTCTTTATAATTTCTTACACATCTCACCAGCACTGTAGTTCTTTAGTGATCAATTACTTCGTCCAATTCCTGTCATTACTTTCTACACCATCTTCGTGTTTGTGGAATTTTAGAACAATTCTATCATATTATTTGCAATAGAATTATGCTTATGCAATGTGTAACCTTGTCACTTAAGATTGGTGGATTGAGAGGGGTTGTATAATTAGTACCTACACCACTATCTAGTAGTAGAAATCATTTAATAAATATTTGTTGATTGGATTAATAATTAATTAACTGGGTGGTTGCTTATATGGTACTCCCTCATTACTTGATATTTCCTCATAAATGCCAGATAAAAATTTATATTTATTTTATAAATAAAAATTATTTATCTGGTGTTTCCACTCAGAAACACCTGGGTAGGATAAAAAAACATAACCAGATGGCAATCAGAATTCATGAATAAGGGGTGCCTGAGTGGCTCAGTTGGCTGTGTGTCCAACTCTTGATTTTGCCTCAGGACCCAGCCCTGTGTAGGGATGAGCAGGAAGTCTGCTTAGAATTCCGTCCCTTCCTCTCCCTCTCCCCTGCTCATGCTTTCTCTCTCTCTCTCTCTCTCTCTCTCTAAATAAAGAAAATCTAAAAAAAGAAACCATGAATAATCCTTACACATCCATTTGAAAAAAAATATCCTCCTGTGTGCTGCAGAATGAACAGAATGAACACTCATCTCAACATCTTCCTTAGCAGTAAGATTCTAGAAACACCAGTCTTTCATTTTTTCTTAGGAAACATGTTTGCTAGATATCTATATGAGATATCTGCCCATATTCCTGGAGGACCAATTAGGGTTAGCTGTATCAGTGGTAGGCATCAGGAGGATTTGGGTATTTAAGGCAATAAACTTGGAACCAAAGGACAGAGAAGACTTGAGGTTTAAATAGATTTTGGAACTACATCACTTCTGGAAGATGACTCAAACTGAAGCTGCTGAAGAGACCAGATAATAATTAGGTATATGATGACATTCTTTGGATTGGACTGAGCAGAAGAAGGCAATGCTGGTATTGTAGTGGATATTTTAAGCTGAGGACCTTAACTTGCTCTGGGAAACAATATTTCCAATCTACATGGTTACAGAGGCAGGTTTCTAATGGCAATCTTGCAATTCCTATTCTTATGACCATAATAATGATCAATATTACACTATTCCTATGGCCATAGTTGATTGAATCAGAGGTATCACACTAAGTTGAGTTGTTCAGAGTCCCTTTCCTACAAACTTAGAATTGCAATGGGGGGAGAAAAAATTTTTCTGTGGCCAAGCTTACTATATGTGTAGCAAGGATAATTCTTCACAAACGGATGTGCAAGGAATGCCACATAATTTTATTTAAGCTTAATTAAAACTACTCCAAATTTTCACCCCATTGAGCTACTGGGAAATTAAATGCAAGTCATTTTTTTAAGTTCTCCCCTTTCCATATGTCATAGAAGAATATGAGAAGTTTGTGTGGTGCTTGAACAATGGAGGTTACCAATGATATTTTCACTGTCTGTGCCTGTTTATTACCTCTGCAATATGGTGGCTCTGTAGCTTCTGTTTAAACTATGCGTGAGGAAATTTTCTGTAGGTATTTTCTGGTTTTGGTTCTAACTTCTCTGAAACAAGGGAGTACAAAAGGCCTAACTTTGTTTTTGTAATGGGATAGAACAAAATACATGTAAAGAAAATCCCTCACAAGTTAATGTCTCAATAAATTATACTGCTACTTAAGTGAACTTAAGAACTGTTGAGTGGACATGTTATGGATACCCATCGGGTTTCCTTCCTAGATTTCTGAAATTCCTCCTTTTCTGGTTACTACTCTGTTCTAATCTACAGAGCTGAGCCCAGAGCAACAGAGATTGAGCTTCACTCAATGTGATGGTCATTTTTATGTGTCAACTTGGCTGGACTACAGTTCTTTATCATTCAGTCAAATACAAATCTTTTTGTTGCTGTGGAAGGTGTTTTTTTAGATGTGATTAAAGTATATAATCAATTACCTTTAAGGAGACTATTCTAGATAATACAGATGGCTCTATCCAATCAGTTGAAAGGCCTTCAGAGAAAAGTAAAACCTTTCCTGAAGAGTAATTCTGCCTTTGGATAGCAACTTCAGCTTGTGCTCAAGAGGTCTGGTATGTACTTCATGATGATCTTCCCTATGGATCTTGGATTTGCCTTGGCAGCCCCCAAAATCCTAATAAATCTCTCCCTATATATCTTATATACATTATTACCTGTAATATCTATATAATGTGTCTCTAGATATACTTAGTCCATTCAGGCTGCTATAACAAAATACCATAGACTGGGTAGCTCATAAACAATGCAAACTTATTTCTCACAATTCTGGAAACTGGGAAGTCCAAGATCAAGGTGCAAGCATGGTTAAGGTCTGGTGAAAGCCCTCTACAGGGTTGCAGATTTTCAACTTCTTACTGTGTCCTTACATGGTGCCAGTGAGCTAAGGAGCTGCTTGGGGGGTCTCCTTTATGAGTACTAATCTTATTCATGAGAACTCCACCCACATGACCTAAACACCTCTCAAAGGCCCCACCTCTTAAAACCATTACATTGAGCATTAGGATTTCAATATATGAATCTTGGGTGGACACATTCAGACTATAGCATATATTATATTCAATATATCTTTTAATATATAACATGTATTGTATAATCCTGTCTCCATTCCTCCTTTGTAGATAATTTGTTTAGGGATAAATACACTTAATCCAAAGAGATCAATCAGATTGTCTCTTCTAAAGTGATTTTCAACTTAGACACAGAGAAACTAAAGGATAACTACATCACTTTAATGGCAAGACATTAGGGGAGGCTCAAATGCTCCTGTTGCTGAGGCCCCAGAGCTACTGTGACATTTTGGATTCTGTGACATAATCTAGTTTCATTCTAATAAATTCCATTTACTGTTTTTGGTTTAAGATAAAATTGGTTTCTGATTTTTGTAACCTCGGAATTATAAAGTGGGATACCTGGGAGTACCTGGATTAAAAGCTGAAAGCATAAAACTCCTAAAAGAAAAGATAAACAGTGATCTCTTGGACATAGACCTTAGCAACATAGTCATGGACGTGTTTACTCAGGCAAGGGAAACTAAAGCAAAAGTAAACTGTTGGGACTACAACAAAATAAAAAGCTTTTGCAGAGAAAAAAAAAGAAACATTAACAAAACAAACAGGCAGCCTAGTGAATGGGAGAAGATATTTACAAATATTATATCTGATAAGGGGTTAATATCCAAAATATAAAAAGAACTTATACAACTAAACATCCCTTCCCCAAAATAATCTGATAAAAAATGAGCAGAGGACTTAATAGACATTGTTTGGAAGAACACTTACAGATAGCCAACAGACTGATGAAAAGATACTCAGCATCACTAATCATTAGGGAAAAGCAATTCAAAACCACAATGAGATATCACCTTAAATCTGTCAGAATGACTAGAATCAAAAGGAAAAAATAAGTACTGGGGAAGATGTGGAGAAGAAGGAACCCACAGGCACTGTTGGCAGGAATGTAAAATGTTGCAGCTACTGTGGAAAACAGTATGGAACTTTCTCCAAAAATTATAAATAGAAATACCATATGATCCAGTAATTGCACTACTGGGTGTTTACACAAAGAAAATGAAAACTCTAATTCAAAAAGATATATGTACCCCTATGTGTATTGAAACATTATTTACAGTTGCCAGGGTATGGAAGTGTCTATCAATAGATGAATGGACAAAGAAGATATATATGTAAATGGACTATCACCCATAAAAAAGAATGATATCTTGCCATTTGCAACAACATGGATGGCCCAGAGTTTATTGAGCTAAGTTAAATAAGTCAGAGAAAGACAAATACCATGTGATTTCGCCTATATTTGGAATCTAAAAAACAAGCCAAATGACCAAGAAAACACATCAAAAACAGACACTGAAAAACAGAGTCTGATCGTTGCCAGAGGGGAGGTGGGTAGGGAAATGTGTAGAATAGATAAGGGGCATTAAGAGGTACAAACTTCCACTTATAAAATAAGTCGTGGAGATGAAAAGTACAATGTAGGGAATATAATCTATAATATTGTAATAATGTATTGAAACTACACTTAATGTGGTGAGCCCTGAGTAATGCATAGAATTGTTATTTTCTTTGTTTACTTCTAGTTTTTATTTAAATTTCAGTTAATTAACATATAATGTATATTAGTTTCAGGAGTAGAATTTAGTGATTCATCACTTACATAAAACACCCAGTGCTCATCACAAGTGACCTCCTTAATACCCATCACCCATTTAACCCATGCCTCCCCCCAACTCCCCTCCAGTGACCCTCAGTTTGTTCTCTAGTTAAGAGTCTATTTTATGGTTTGCATCTCTCTTTTCTTTGTTTTCCCCTATGTACATCTGTTTTGTTTCTTAAGTTCCACATATGAATGAAATCATATGGTATTTGTCTTTCACTGACTGACGTATTATACTTAGTATAATACTCTTTAGTTCCATCCATGTCATTGCAAATGGCAATATTTCATTATTTTTTAATGCTGAGTAATCTTCCATTGTATATATTTATATATACCACCTCTTATTTATGTATTCATCAGTTGATGGACCTTTGGACTCTTTCTATAATTTGGCTATTGTTGAAAATGCTATAAACATTGGGGTGTATGTATCACTTTTAATCAGTATTTTTTATCCTTTGGGTAAATACCTACTAGTGCAATTGCTGGATCATAAGGTAGGTCTATTTTTAACTTTCTGAGGAACCTCTGTACTGTTTTCCAGAGTGGCTGCACCAGTTTGCATTCCCACCAACAGTGTAAGGGAGTTCCCCTTTCTCTGCATCCTCACCAACATCTGTTGTTTCCTGTGTTGTTAATTTTAGCCATTCTGACTGGTGTGAGGTAATATCTCACTGTAGTTTTGATTTGTATTTCCCTGTTGCTGAGCGATGCTGAGCATCCTTTCCTGTGTCTGTTAGCCATCTGTATGTCTGTCTTCTTTCAAAAAATGTCTATTCATCTCTTCTGCCCATTTCTTGACT